AAACCTCAGGGGGCGGGATGTAATTTCCGAAACCTCAGGGGTATCTGTAATTTAACCAAACCTCGAGGGGTGTATATGTAATTTGCCCTTTTTATTATTTTAAATTTTGATTAAAATAATTATAAAAAATAAAATAAATATTACATTTAAATTATAATTATTTTATTTTCTCTGTCACATTCAACTCATTTTTCACATTATTTTATGAATAAATTATCTTAACCGTCGTTGAATTTTGGTGAGAACACAGACTTCCTCTTTTTCATAACTTTCAAGATTTCATTTTGTATTGTATAACATATTATATTATATTTGAATGACAAAGGTCGTGAAATTTCTAGCATTGAGAAAAAAAATTTAACAGTAAAAAATGATGGTTAGATGATTTGTATAGTCGATTATATTTGTTTATAAAAGTAAAAGATATTGCTGAATAAAACTTGTACTTCTGCAAGGAGAAGATAGTACTTATTTTTTCTTTTCTATATCATATATATTATTATTTTATAACATGTTATTAGTATAAGATTCTACTCAGTTGATAAGGAAAAGTTCAATCACAATAGTATAAGATTCTACTCAGTTGACAAGGAAAAGTTCAATCACAAACAAATAAAATTTGAATAAATATTTTATAAGAGTGATTCATGATAAAATTAATTCTATATTTTTATATTTTTCTTAATATATTCACGTAATACTAATTATGTTATTATTGTTGGGCAAATTTTTTTAAGGTCCTGGTATTAAGATTTTATAACATAAAGGACACTTAATATTTTCATGATGCCTAAAGTCCCTCAATATCAATCCAGAGAAAATTCAATCCAGAGAATTTCTCTGGACAAATCACAGAGAAAATTTCAAATTTCTCTGGACAACAATGAGGACTAGTGCTCTGCTTCAGAGAAAATTGGGTTGGACTAGAGAAATTCTTTGGTTTGAACTCAATTTTCTCTGGGTTGAACTAGTGCTTTGCTTCAGAGAAAATTGGGTTGGTCCAGAGAAATTCTCTGGTTTCTAGTGCTCTATTTCAAAGAAAATTGAGTTGGTCCAGAGAAATTCTCTCAATTTTCTCTAGACCAAATCAGAGAGAAATTTTCTTTGATTCAAATATAAAAAAGCTGTTCAAGCTCAAATCTTATTGGATTCTCAAATGCTGTTTTCTATAGCAAAAAATATGAAGTCTGCTTGTTATCTGCAAGACTTTCTCAAAACAAGAGCATTTTTAATTCAACAAACCAAAAATTTACTCAACCCAGAGAAATTTACTCAATCCCAGAAAAAATCCCCTCCAACCAAAGAAATTCACTTGTTGTCTGCAGTTTGATGGCTTTAGCGATTTGATCCAACATTATTTTTATACTACAAAAAGAGACTTAATCCAATAACTATATTTATGTCTATATTCATAATGAATTCAACAAACAAAACAATCCTTGGAATTTAGAGTCTGCAAAAAACAAAAAATGGGGAAAGAGAAGCAGTTTTGGCTGCTGAAGACAAAGGTAGGAGAGTGGTCATGGGATGATCAAGCAGCCAACGGAGGCTTATCAAATTGGGACGGAGTGAAGAACAAACAAGCCCAGAAGAACCTCAAGTCCATGCGCCTCGGCGACCTTTGCTTCTTCTACCACTCCGGTCCCAAAGCCCGTCGCATCGCCGGCGTAGTCTCCGTCGTCCGAGAATGGTACGAAGATGATGGTAGTGCGGTGAATGTGAGGGCGGTAGGGGAGATGAAGAGGTCGGTGGACCTGAAGGAGTTGAAATGAGATGATAGGTTGAAGGGTTTTGGTCTGTTCAGGCAGCCCAAATTGTCGGTTGTGCCGGGTTTGGAAGAGGTGAGGCGTGAGTCTGAGAGAGAGAGGGGGTGAAGGTGTAAAGCTTATACCAAATTTCTCTGTAATACATGGGTGTGGGGTTGAGGGACCTTCGACATTATAAAATAATATTGTGGATCTCTTCTATTACTAAAATTGGGAGAGGGACCTTAAACTAATTTTCTCTTATTGTTATGTTGAGTGCATGAATATGTTGAATTTTCAAATATTAGAATTCATAACTCTTGGCATTTAGAAAATTTTATTTATCTTTAATCTTTGATGCTGAGATCCACCTTGAGGCAATAGTTTAAAGATACTATTAAAAATGAAAATGAAGCATCCCTGCAAGATCACGCAAAGACAAGGATATTCATTCGCTACCATCTCCAAGAAGAATTAAAATTGAGTACCTCATAATAACAGATTCACTTATTTTGTGAAATAATTTGAAGGAGAAATACGAGTACTAGAAGATCGTAATCCTCCCAAAAAACCCCCCTTATAATTGATTGCACTTGAAGTTGTAAAATTATGAATCAGTTAGTGAGTACAATCTATAGAATATGTATTGAAATTTTTACGTTGATAATATGCTCATATAGTAGCAATATAAAAAGTGTTGATCTACAAAATACTCTGAACTGATTTCATGCCTTTTTGTGGCTGAACAAACTAAGCAACTTTTATTGAAAAATCATCAATCCCGCCTTACTAGCTCTACTCCATTCCTTGAAATGAATGAGGTTGCATTTCATGGTTGTGAACGAGGGATAAGTCATGGTTTTGGACATGGTTGAGGTAAAATTACAGAATCCGTAAGGGACATGTTCAAAAACATTCAAATAAAAAGGTCATGGTTTTTATTCGAATAAATTTTCAGTGCTTTTGGCCCAAAAGGTATAAATTTTCAGTTCAAATAAATTTTCAAAAATGGAAAAACATTCGAATAAAATTTTCAGTGCTTTTTGGTCCAAGCTTCAGCCCAAAAACCATAGAGTTTTGACAATCCAAAACAATGGAAAAACAATAGGAAAAATAGTAGAGAAAGCAAGCAAATAGGTAAAGTCTTATACCTTTTGAAGAGAAGAAGCAGTTCCAAGAAACAAAACCAAGTAAACACACCCTCTAGAGCTCAAACCAAGCTCAAAAGTACCTCAGCTCAAAGATGGTGAGATTTGGTTAAGGGTGTATAATCAAAGATTGAAGATTTGTAGACAAAAGTGTAGAGATTTGGTAGAGAGAGAGAATTGTAGAGAGAGAGGAAAATTTTTGATCTGAAAATTTTCTAACCTTAAAACATAACAGAGGGGCCTCCTATATATAGAAAACATGAAATTTCCTCAAGGAGATACAGCCCTACACGTGGGGATAGATGCATGCATCTGTGCAAACAGCTGGCACAGCTGGCATAAAATATCTACAAAATACACTGGTGGCCGACAAGCCACAACAGTGGCCAGCAGCCAAAAAGTGATGGCCGGTAGCCCAAAAGGGGTGGCCGGCAAGCCACCAGAGGCTGCGAGCTGAAAAAGCTAGGCTTGGTCCAAAACTAAGACAACAAAGGTATAAGGTTTGAAACGCTCAAAGCTGTGGCATTCTGCTGAGGACTTCGAGTACTTGGCAAGCATATAAACTCATCATCGGGTGTACATGCAATGGTGTCCAAGTCGTAAGGGCCGTCAAAAATAGGGTGTCTACAGTTAGGGGTGTGCATAATACCGCTCAAACCGCCGAAACCGCTCAAACCGCACCGAACCGCACCGCCAAGGCAAATTCGTTATTATTTGCCAATCGAACCGCCGGTTTTTGGTAAGAAAAAATGGCAAATTCTAGTGACACTTTTATCAATCCACCGGTTTCTATTTTTCTTCCAAACCGCACCGACCCGCATCGCTATTAAATCATGTTTTATAAGATTCTAAAAATTCTTTTTTACTTAAGTTTGCTTGTTGTTCTATACCTTAGAATATAGTATTACATTACTGCTCAAGGGGAATTCAAGATGTCAATAATCCAAAATAAAGTTGGATTCCAATTCACTTTTCAATCTTTTTTTTTTTCATTTCATGGTTGTGAACGAGGGATAAGTCATGGTTTTGGACATGGTTGAGGTAAAATTACAAAATCCGTAAGGGACATTTCAAAAACATTCAAATAAAAAGGTCTTGGTTTTTATTCGAATAAATTTTCGGTGCTTTTGGCCCAAAAGGTATAAATTTTCAATTCAAATAAATTTTCAAAAATGGAAAAACATTCGAATAAAATTTTCAGTGCTTTTTGGTCCAAGGTTTAGCCCAAAAACCATAGAGTTTTGACAATCCAAAACAATGGAAAAACAATAGGAAAAACAGCAGAGAAAGCTAGCAAATAGGTAAAGTCTTATACCTTTTGAAGAGAAGAAGCAGTTCTAAGCAACAAAACCAAGTAAACACACCCTCTAGAGCTCAAACCAAGCTCAAAAGTGCCTCAACTCAAAGATGGTGAGATTTGGTTAAGGGTGTATAGTCAAAGATTGAAGATTTATAGGCAAAAGTGTAGAGATTTGGTAGAGAGAGAGAATTGTAGAGAGAGAAGAAAATTTTTGATCTGAAAATTTTCTAACCTTAAAACATAAGAGAGGGGCCTCCTGTATATAGAAAACATGCAATTTCCTCAAGGAGATACAACCCTACACGTGGGGATAGATGCATGCATCTGTGCAAACAGCTGGCACAGCTGGTATAAAATATCTACAAAATACACTGGTGGCCGACAAGCCACAACAGTGGCCAGCAGCTAAAAAGTGATGGCCGGTAGCCCAAAAGGGGTGGCCGTTAAGCCACCAGAGGCTGCAGGCTGAAAAAGCTAGGCTTGGTCGAAAACTAGGACAACAAAGGTATAAGATTTGAAAGGCTCAAATCTGTGGCATTCCGCTGAGGACTTCGAGCACTTGGCAAGCATATAAACTCATCATCGGTTGTACATGCAATGGTGTCCAAGTCGTAAGGGCCGTCAAAAATAGGGTGTCTACAATTGCCCCTCTTTGACAAAACTCGCAGTCATGAAATGACGTGAGTGAAAGTCAAAGTCCGAAGACAACCTATTTTGACAAGGCCATCAGACTTGGACAAACAATCAAGACAGAAAGAAATGGTTCAGCCCGCAGGCTGCCTACGTATCCGTTTACAGGGAATCAAACCTATGTAGTTCTGGGACAAAATGCAAAATGATATGCACAAAAATTTTGAAAGCTAGGCTCACACGCTTCGCAAAGCCGACTATGTTAAAAACTCATGATCATGCAAGATGATGCAATAGGCAATAACAAATGCGATAAGCAAGAATGAATACATATGAATGAACAACTTCAAGCTTAAAACCAACATAAGCTTTATGCAAAACGAAGATAAGCACACATTAACCACGCCAAAACATAGGACAAGGAAGGAAAACACCGCTCAGGGTTGCGTTCCGCGCATCCTTGAAAAATTGAGAACCGTTCAAGGTCGTGTTTCACACGTTCCGAGAAACAAGAAAAAATCGCTCGAGCTCGCATTCCACGCGTCTCGAGAAGCAAGAAAACCCGTTCGGGCCCACGTTTCACTCGTTCTAAGATGAAAAATTGCTCGGGCTCATACTTCGCACGTCCTGAGATGAAACCTGCCCCAGATCCGCGTGTCACGCGTCCGGAGATGAAAAACTGCTCGAGCTCATGCTTTGCACGTCTCAAGGTGAAACCCGTCCAGGGCTACGTGTCATGCGTCCTGAGATGAAAAATCATTCTGGCTCATGCTTCACTCGTCCTGAGATAAAACCCGCCCAGGGCCGCGCATCACGCGTCCTGAGATAAAAATAGAGAGGTGTATAATAAATGCACGAACAATCTCTTTTGCAAAGTCGCGCAGGTTCTCATACCGAGACACGAATGCTTAGAATTCCTCTGAATGAATTGTACATACAATATCGTTTGACGGTTAGTATGCGATAGATGCACAAAGTGAACAAGTGCAATAAATGCATAAAGTGAGCAAGTACGATAGATGCACAAAGTGAACAAGTGCGATAGATGGACAAGGTGAATGCGTGCGATAGATACACAAAGGACTTAATCTGGAACTCCCCCAAATGAACCAAACATACAATATCTTTTGCCTGTGTTGGCAAAGGAAGAAAGAAAAGAACTTTCCTATTTACGAAAGCATAACTAACATGAACAATGTGCGATACAGTGACAATGCATATTCTACTCAAGCTAAACAACTGAGATAGAGGGCATGTTCTATGCAAAATACAAAAGCATATTTTATGCATGATAAACAACATGCTCTACGCGTGAAGCATGAATAATGTAAAATACGCATGCAACGTTTGTAATGTATATGCTACGCAACAAAAGAAAGCAAAAAGAGACGGGACTTTCCGATTCACCTCTTGGAGGATTTGTAATATGTTTAAAAAGAATACACCTTTTTCATGTTGACAATGATGAACATCATTCGCCAAAACACAGTTTTGAGCTTCCGTAGAGACAATCTGGACCCAACAGTGAACCTCTCTCTGCACTTCCTGGGAAACAAAGACACAAAATAGTATCACAACACAAAAGAAGGCCACTGGCCACTGGCCGGCCACAGGGGGAGGCTGCCAGGCACCTACCGACCACTATACAGCCTTGCCAGCCACCAATGAGCCTTGCCGGCGCCCTGCCAGCCACCGATGGCAGTGCGAGGGTTTTTCGGTCTTTTTGACTCGGGTCTTTAGGTATGGACCAAGGCCCTTCATTTCCTCACTACCACACATCCAAAATTACTCTCTCTCTCTTTCTCTCTCTAGGTGTTTTTCCTCTCTAGATCCGAGTTTTTTACGCGTTTTCCAACACCCCATGCAAACTTTATTCACTAAACCCTCTTGATTCTCTTCACTTTGAACCGATTGGAATTTGATTTTGATACTTTTTTCCCTTATTTTTA